TTTGAACCAATGAGAAAGTGAATCAAAAATTGAATGTAAGTTCAATTTGACTATACCTGCCTTCTATACCAAACGGGTCATCCTAGAACAAGCACAATGGTGCTTAATTGGATGTGGAGAATCATTTTCTCTTGGCATTTAGGATTAGACCTAACTTTGATGCATAAAGAACATAATTTTACATTTCGTTTTCAAAATTTTTTCGGGAACTCTTATGTTTGCTTCTTTTTTTTTTTAATAATTTTTTAGTAGAGGACAGGGAAATGAGATTTGAAACCCGAACATGGGGTACACATCTTAGGAGCAAGGGGGCAAAGCCATTGATCTTGGTCAAGGGTATGTTGTCGAGTGTTGATTTGTTATATGATTCAAAGTTGCATTTCTATATTCAATTGCAAACATTATGCCATAACCGTATTGCACCGTCCAAAATCTTCATTCTTCTAGTGAAAAATCATGGACTATCCTATGAATGAATTCAAAGGTTTGAAATGCTTTCATCAGCAAGCATTAGACAATTTTCTTTTATGACAAAGGACAAGAACCAACCTGCCTCCCCACAAGATTCATGCTTGGGCCGTATGGCACTACCGACCTTTGGGAACAAAAAGGTTCTAAAACCTCCCATTTAGATAGAATAATTAAATGCCTTTTTTGTTTTCTTAATCCTAATCCTTCACTCAACGATTTTGCACAAAAAGCACTTTTTCCTTCATTTTGACGTCTCTTTTGTGAACTTTATGATCCTCACGAGTGTATGTGGTCAAACAGTCAACTTTCCTTAGAGCTCTATGTTTATCCCCACCACATAAGATTTGGGTAGGCAGATATTGCCATCATTCTGGCCACAATAATCACTTCCAATTTACCTCCAACGAAAAAGGGTTGGTTGTTTTGTTTCTTTGGATGGTTGCAATGTTTTTAAGATAATGTTTATGTAGTTCAAGACTAATTTTTTTGCAAAACGATTTTAAAAGACACAACTCTCATATTGATTTGGTGCTTTTAAATAATTATTAATTTCCTTTGATGCAGGTCCATAATTTAAACTCTGATCTATAAAATAATATTTACTTAATAGTAAATTAATTAAATATAACTTTTTCGGGTTAAAAAAAGGGCTAGTTGCACTCATTAGAAGTTGAGGGGTTTTTCAATACAATGACAAGTGAAACAATACAAAAGCTTGTTTGTCCTTTAACTACTAGACCAAATCTTATCTGCAACTATCTATAATAATGCTGAATAATTAACAAAATCTAAGTCAAGTTAAACACTAGTAACAAATTTGGGATATTATAGTAGTCTTGCTAGTTGCTACATAGATGAACTTGCTACATTAATACCTACCCGATGCAATGAAGCCCTAAGGTGTTATAGGGGCAACCTTTTATCATTTTCACCACTTTCAAGCTTCTGGTAAAAAATCAGTCCGCAATGTTTGAAGTGAAAAAGCAAATTTAACATAATATGGTGCCGTAATTGATGTTAGATTAGATCTTGGGCCTCTAGATTTGATCCCTTTTCCTTATATTTTCTTTTTTTTCTTATGCATGGTATTTCCACTAGTCTATTATGCCAAGACTTCATTGATTGGAGCATTAATAATTTGGTAACTCATATCCCTTAATCACTATATCTGTTTTTACATTGTTTTTTTGGTACATTTGATTTGAATGTGTTATGTAAGAAGGGATAGCTCTCCTCTTTTTCTAAATCTTTTCCCACTTAATTCAAGATTTGAATTTGAGACTTTCAACTTGAAATCTCAAACTTTTAATCATTAAGCCACCCCTTTAGGATATTTGTTTTTACATTGTGACTTATGAGTTAGTCAAAAGAAAATAAAGGAAATAAACCCATTTATTTAATTTAGAGGATGCAAAAAAAAAAAAAAAATCAATGCAACTTGATATCAAAAATGTCAAGACTCCAATCATAATTATAAAATGAGTGAGACATAATATAAATCTCACTTAAATCTCATTCATCATGTGGATGCGATACATCATAATTTTCACTTTTTTTTTGTTTGATTTAATCTTATTAATTAAAAGAATTATGTCTACTATTGTACAATCTAGGTTGTCTAACATTTTTTCTAAAAAGTTTACAATTTAAAAACTTTCAAAAAAAAAATACAGTTTGATAGAATTCAAACAGTAAAATAAGGGTTTTTGAATAAAAAAGACCCCTAATATCAAGGAACTACCTTTCATCAGACATTTATATTTTATAATTCAATATAATTTGAATTACAAAATATTTTTTCAAAAAGATAAATAAAACCCGAGTTTTACAGAAGCCCAACGGAAGTTAAAATGAGGCCCCAAATATACAAGGCCTGGCGAGGAGGCCCAAATATAATAAATCCTCAATTCCTCATCAAAACGGCACGGCAGCGGCGGGCGTCTTGTTCAATTGCTAGGGTTTGCCGCGTTGAATCGCAGAAGAAATTCTCTCCACCACCGCTGCAACTCTGGTATTACGCTCTTCATCTTTCTCCCTCTTTATCTCTACTTCTCTGTGAATTGAAAAGGAAGAATTTTTTTCATGAAAGATCATTACTTTGGTTAAAGTCAATCGAAATCTAGTAAAGTACTTGGTGGAAATCGGTATCTAGCTCTTAATCGATATTCTTAGGAGTCTTCCGGCGTGCAAATCATTGAAACATTTACTGCAATTAATTGAAGAGAACCCAGATAGTTAGAATCAAGTTTTAGGTTGTACCTGGAATAGGGCATTGGATGGTGGTATGAAGTTTTTCAATTTTTTTTTTTTTTTCCTTTTCATCCTCTATATTTATGGGGAATTGATTTCGAGCGCTGCAAAGGAGTTTGGTTGAGTGAAGGAAAGTGAGTTTTGGAAACAAGTTCAATGGAGACCCTTGCTATTTTACAAAATCAAAATCTGTAAATTACAAGAAATAGGTGAAATGAATTCGTTATGAACTCTTTTTAAGCTTCCTTGATCGTTTTTGTATCTCCTTGTATTCCAATCCAGTTTCTTGATTTGGTGTATGGTAGTAATGCAGAAGCGGTGTTTCTTTCTTTTTTTTTTCTTTTTTGTGTGTATGTGTGTGTGTGTGAGATTCACTAGCCATTGCTCGTGCATAATTTACTGTATTTTGTGCAGATGGGGAGGAGAAAGCAAAACCCTGTTGATGAATGGAATTCTTCTCTTGATCTTAAGTCTCTCATTCATCAAAATTCCTTGTTCTTTGACAAGTTGATTGAGCTCATCCCTGCAAAGTTCTATCTACCTCTTGATGAAAAAGAGAGACCATGGTTTCAAGGTCTTAGCAAGGCTGAAAAGGCTTTGGCAAAGAAGGAATCAAAAGAGAACATCAAGAAAGCTAGAAGAGATAGACTGGACCCAGAGAAATTGTCTACGACAACTCTTGATTTGTTGAAGCAAAGCTTGGAAAAGGAAAAATTAAATGCAGAGAGTGAGGACGAGGAAATAGAAGTTAGACCTGTTATGCCTGATCTAGAGGTTGAGAAAAAGTCAGTGACATATGAAGAACTCCGGCAACGACTTCATCGTAGAATTGAAGAGCTCCGGGCAGGTAGAAATACTGGAGGTTCAGACAAAACTAAGAAGAAAAATGAAAAGAATGAGAAGAAGGGCAATCTGCAAAAGAAACGCAAGAGGGATTCTGGATCAGAGGAGAAAACATCAACCGGCAATTCAACTGGTAAAATGGAGAAGTGTGTTGAAGATGCCGTGAAAGGACTAACTTTTAGTCATCTTAAACTTGGGAATGAAGAAAAACAAGGGAAGAACAGGAAGAGGAAACTTTCAAAGGTTAAGGAGCTTGAAAATGCAATGAACTTAGAAGAAGCAAAGAAAGATCCAGAGGTTGCAAAGAAGCATATGTGGAGGGCTGCAATGAATAGAGCTCAAGGAACTAAGGTTCATGATGAT